TCGCGGTTTTAGCGCCGCGGTGTTGTTGGCGCGCTTTTGACTTTCGCGGTTTTAGCGCCGCGGTGTTGTTGGCGCGCTTTTGACTTTCGCGGTTATGTCATGCCACGGTTTATCTTTATACCTGCTATCTTGCACATGTTTGACAAACTAATAAATGCTAAACACTAAATCTTCCACATCTCTGCCAGAGCATCTCCGGACCACAGTCCCCTACCTTTCTCAATGCAATGATGAGGATTCAACCCCAGATCCTGCACTGCTGGCGGCCAATGAGGCGGACATTTAAGTTCTATGATGAAAGCGGGACGGGCCTTCTCAGCATCCAGGATTTCCGACAGGTAGTGTGCTTATTGCTAAAGCTCCCTCTGTGCAGAGCTGATGACTTCATAGGCACAGCCATGAAGTTAACCCTGGGAATCATATGGAACGCTGCTCCTTTTCTTCTGCGGCTGTTTCGCCCAGACGAGTCTACTGCTCTGTCAATTCACTGTTGTCTCCCGTGTCAAGTCCAGGCCTGCTTCATTTCCAAGCACAGATAAGGTGTGCCAGGTGGCATCACCTGCTGAGACTAAATGCCAATTTTAACACCTTCACTCGTGTTTATGTTCTAGCTACCAAGTTGAAGGAAATTGCCATTTACAATAGGAAACTCCCTGCACACCTTAAGTTGCAAGATTTGAGCAGTGGGTTGTAACGACACTTATCCATGGAAAGCTTTTCCTGCCAAGGAGAAAGGGGTCATGGGTTTTTTTTGGGTGGCATTTGAAGTTATATTTTATGTGAGCTTATGTGAGCTTGTATGAAGGCAGTAATGAAGGCGTGATATTTAAGTGCTTCCTCTGATTGGTTTCTTGTTTTAATTGGTGGCTTTAATTAGATGTTTAAAAACTACTATTTACTTGGTTATAGCTTTGCTATACCAACCACAGGAGGGATGTTGGGACCAATTTATGGTGTAAATATACAAAGACAAAGGCTCCCTCAAGTCACGTTCCGCTTCCAAGCCCTGTCCTCGTACATTTTCTTGATCACAATGCGAAAATAGTTTTCCTTCTTTTTTATTTTTTATTTTTATTTTATTATTTTATTTTATCAATTTCATATATACATTCACAATTATATGATCTCATNTGAGGAGGGAATGGAGATTTTGCAGTATCCTTCCCCTGGGGTGGGGTGCAAATGGAGATTTTGCAGTATCCTTCCCCTGGAGTGGGGAGGGAATGGAGATTTTGCAGTATCCTTCCTCTGGAGGTTGGGTGTGAATAGAGATTTTGAAGTATCCTTCCCTTGGGGTGGGGAGGGAATGGAGATTTTGTAGTATCCTTCCCCTGGGGTGGGGCGCAAATGGAGATTTTGCAGTATCCTTCCCCTGGAGTGGGGAGGGAATGGAGATTTTGCAGTATCCTTCCTCTGGAGGTTGGGTGCGAATATAGATTTTGCAGTATCCTTTCCCTGGAGTGGGGAGGGAATGGAGATTTTGCAGTATCCTTCCCCTGCCATGCCCACCAAGCCACACCCACATAACCAGTAGTAATTTTTTTTGAATTTCCCCACTGCACAGCAGCCACTGCTGGAGAGAAAAGAGCATTTGAAGGGTTGGCTAGAATAGCAATTATAACCCAAAAAATGGAGTTACCTCTATGGAGATTCTCGGTTATCCAAGTCATGGTTGTCCCAAAGGTGCTTTTTCAAGAGACAACTAAACTTTCTGGTTTTTTTTTCCTTTTTTGAATAAAGTTTTTTATTTTATAACATAAAATTTCCATTTACAATTGAACAGTGTGTTCTCTGGTACAAATTTTGAAAAAGAGTAATCATAGTATTTACAACAATATTTATTACATTGATAGTCATTCTGTAATGATAAAAATAATAATCATAATATTCTCTTTTCTATCTTCACAAACCTGCCTTGTTTCATTGATCCTTTTCTTATATTTCCATATTTCTAACTTCTGTTTATTTTTAGCTAACTATTGATAAAATAAATCCCGTATCAAGAAGTGCTCAGTGTGTTGCTTTTCCTTAATTGCAAGTGTTAATCTCTTCATTTCTGCCCGTTCTAATAGTTTTTTAATCACACTTTCATCTGTAGGGATCTCTTCATTTTTTGAACTTTCTGGGGTTTTTTCCCCTTTACTTTCTTTCAGCTCTGAGAGCTGAAGAAGCTTCTTGGATGAGAAGCGAAAGGCCTCTAAAGAAAAACAAGAAAGTCCATTTGCCTCTTGAAAAAGCACCTTTGGGTTATACAAGCCAAGAAGTTTTCCAGCAGGACTCTTATCTTGGAAAATTGTATCATCCTCTGCAGAAATAGGACAATGAAATGCTAGGCGTAGCAGATCACTGCATGTAGCCTTGTGTAAGTAATTAGAATTCTGAACATTAATAAAAAGCTTTTAGAATCCTTGTAACCTTTTATATTTAATCCCCACTTGAAAACGGCTCTCAAGTCATTTCTGCTCCTAGAATTTCTAATATTCTTTGGTCTCTGAAAATGCTGCACTTTTAAGTACAGGATTCTTGTTCCAGGTTCTGAGATTAAATAATACCAATAAAGTAATAAGCATTCCAAAGTTGGTGCTGTATTATTATTCTTTTTTTTAAAACTTTTTTTCGCAATTAAGAGCACATCTATGTTTGGTCACCCCTTTTCTCCCATATTTAGAGCTATTGTGGAGAAGAAAATTAAGCCCTTCTTTTACAGTTCTAATAATGAGAATTATTTTTTTTAAAAAAGATTTTTTTCCCCTTCCTCTGCCAGAAATGCAATAATTAGAACAGCTGGAAGACAGAAAACACATGTCACATACTTCCCCGGTCTCTGCTCTGCATATGGCATGTCTTGCAGCTACTTTAATTTATCCCCAATTGTCAAGATCCCCGAAGCTGCCTCCTTTCTGCCAATTGTCTTCAGAACTTGAACTGCTGTAAGACGAAACAAGGCGGTGGGGGGAAAAAAAAGCATCTCGGATTCTTGTCTCAAAATTCTTGACACACCATGCAAGCATGTTTTTCATTAGTGCTTCTGGCAGGAGGATTTGACTCAACCACTTTCGATGAATAAAAGAAGCAAGTTCCTCCCCCCTCCCCCACTTATATAAAAACAAAACTTACTGCTTCTGGAAAAGATCTGCTGTAAAAATGGGGGAAAGCAATTAATTCTCGAATACAGCTCGTCTGCCTGGAAGCCACACTATATATCGGACATTAACACGATTGAGCAGATCCAGAGGTATTTCAGGAGAAGAGTCCTCCACTCCTCTGCTCACAATAGAATCCTTTATGCCACCAGGTTTGAAATTTTGGGCTTGGACAATTTGGAATTATGCCTCTTGCAGTCGGACCTAAGCATAGTACACAAAATTGTCTGCTACAATGTCGTACCTGTCAACGACTTCAGCTTCAACCACAATAATACACAGGCAAAAAATCGATACAAACTCAAAGGTAAATTGCTGCAAACTCGATTACAGAAAATACGACTTCAGCAACAGAGTGGTCAACACCTGGAATGCTCTACCTGACTCCTTGTTACATCCTCAAACCCCCAAGCTTCAACCTTAAATTGTCTACTGTACCCATTCCTAAGAGGTCCGTAAAGGGGGCGTGCATAGGTGCACCGGCGTGCTTACCGTTCCTGTCCTACTGTCCCCGTTTATTTGTATTCATTTCCTTTATTCATGTCCACGTTCATCTTATGCTTGCTATGTTGTACCTGTTTGACAAACTAATAAAATAAATGAATCGATAATTCAGACTGCAGGGACATTGATAGAAAGTACTCACTGAGTTGCAAGCGGGAGATTAAGATGTACTCCGGACCATGCAGAAGACACAACCGTCAAGTCAACCTGGTGATCGGTGTGGACACCCTGATTGAGTTTTGTTGTTGTTGGTATTTCTGTGTGGCAGTTTGGTATTTCCCAGATGGCTGGAGGGTGTGGAAGGAGAGGTCAATGTTGTTTTCTTGGCAGCAGGAGAAAGAGCCTCCGCTATTGTCTTCTTGCAAGATGTTTCTTCAACTTCCCAGCCAAGTCGGCTTTTCATCCTGGTTATTAACAGGAGTGACAACAGGCACTTTTGCATAAGTAATAGTGCATCTAAAATACACCCCAGATATGCTGTGAACGGCAGTCATGGCACATGTCAAGAAGGGAGGGAGCTGCAACTTCATAGCAGCAGGAGCCATCTTAGCCTTGTCTTTCCCCCCATCCTTTCCAATTCTCGTCCCAGCAGACAGAAACTCCCGCCGAGATTCTTTCTTGAATTTCTTGTATTTAAGCTGGCGTCCGCCACCTTCTTCTGTGTAGGCCTTCTCTGGAGACATGGCCCTCTCTCTTAGCCAAATCCATTGGCGTTAGATCAACCTCTAGGCTTCCCCAAATCATGAAGCAGACTCCTTGTCTGACACGTTTTATTAAGTTACTGTGAATTTCTCTCATTCACATCCAGCAAAGTTTTTCAAAGGTGAATTTACAGTCACAGACCTTATCTGGCTTGGAGAGCTGCCAGGCCGATATCGTCAAAATGCAACGCTGTACTTGGCAAGGGGTCTTTGAGAGTCACAAACCAATTAAGGAAACTAATTGTTTCCTGAAAACTCCACTCCCCTTTCACTCCTCTTTCATTTCCTATGGGAGGGACCATTCACCGTGCACTTGTGCCTTTACTCCTGAGTCGGCCCTTGTTCCTTAGGTGTTCCCTTCTCCTGGCAGCTCTGTGCATGCGCACATCAAGAACAGGCTCCAGATGTTGTTCTACCCCACTGATATCCGACTCCAAAGGCAGCTGATAACTGTCGGATGGCCCTGGCCCCGTCTCTGCCTCCGACACAGAGCCCTCATCAGAGCCTTCCCCAGACTCCAGGACTGGCTCATGTTCCTTCCCAACCTCCTCATTATCTGAGTCTGCCAGCAGCTCTGGTGGCCACTGGCAGGCCACAATAGAGACACCTTTCATAAGGGAAAGAAAGAGGGTGTGGCCCCACAAAGACATGGGGCTATTCTATAAACATGAATGTATATTTATTTATAGGCTTGTAGTACCATCCAAATCACCACGATTCATTAGTACCATTCAAATCATTACAATTCATTACAATTGATTCTACATCAGGGCTGAGATAGAATCACAAATCTGAATTCTTTTTTTTTAATCACTGCAGGCAGGGTGGGTATGATATTTTCTTTTGGGAGTGCAAACTGGGTGATTTCAGGTGGCTGGCCAAATCTGGCATGTGGACTGTAGGTTGCCAACCTCTTCTTTACATAACAGGTTAGAAGGGTATCAGGATTCCGATGGATGCCCTAATTAACTCATGAGCGTTGAATCAAATTTCAAAAGAAATCCAGTTATTTATTAGGAAGCGACATGTCAACATATACCCGAGTGAAGTCAACTTTGCCGCATGTGATTTATGGTTCAACTGTGACCCTGTTTCCACCCTCTAATTAAAAGATGGTAGTGACAATAGTGCCATCAAAATTCTGGCAGTTTTTTATAGGTTGTTCTTGGGCCCCATAGTCTTCTTTTGGCACAGCCTGGACACTCAAACTGGTTTGAGCTCTGCTTCCCAGAACTGTAACCAATCTGATATGGTTTGCAAGAATTTTCAGACTGTAAAAATTTTTTAAGAGCCTGAAACAAACCCACATTTTCCATCTTCTTCCTATCCCTGCCAAAGGTAAAGGTTCCCCTCGCACATACATGCTAATCGTTGTCGACTCTAAGGGGCGGTGCTCATCAAGGTTTCAAAGCTGAAGAGCCAGGGCTGTCCAAAGACGTCTCCATGGTCATGTGGCCGGCATNAATAGTCCAGCATTAAACTGGACCATATTACAGAGAGTCCTCGACTTATGACTACAATTGAATCCAAAATTTCTGTTATCAAGTGAGAATATAGGAAGTGAGTTTTGCCTCTTTTTACGACATTTCTTGCCACAGTTGTTAAGTGAATCACTGCAGTTGATAAGTTAGTAACCTGGAATCTGGCTTGCCCATTGATTTTGTCATAAGGCTGCAAAAGGTGATCACATGGCCCCGGGACACAGCAACAGCCGTCGTAAGTATGAACCAGTTGCCAAGCATCTGAATTTTGATCACAAGATCATGGGGATGCGACAAAGGTTGTAACTGTAAAAACACGGTCATAAACCAACTTTTTCAGTGGCGTTGTAACTTTGAATGGAGACTAAATGAATTGTTGTAAGTTGAGGATTACCTGTATTTAAATACTACAGGTAGTCCTCAACGTCTGACTGCTCACTTAGCGACTGTTTGAAATTACGATGGTCCCTGAAAAAGCTACTTATCACTTACCTGCATTTGAAGTTTTGATGTCCTCCCCATCCACTCCCATGAGCACCAACCAGCTACTGTTCACCAACCAGCTACTGTTAGGAGTCTCCCATGGTTTGTGATTTGCAACATTTTTGCCAGAAACAACTATTTACTTCCAGTTTCCAGCAAAAAACAAATGCCCCTTAATGAACAATGGATTGGCTTAACAACCGTGGCATTCACTTTACAGTCCTGTGTTCACTTAATAACTGGGTGAAAAAAAATCATAAAATCAGGCATGACCACGTGATGACCTGCTTAACAACCATCACAACTTATTGTTGTGGCCTGCCAGTGGCCAGCAGAGCTGGCAGCAGATTCAGACAGTGAGGAGGTTGGGGAGGAACATGGGCCAGTCCTGGAGTCTGAAGAAGGCTTCTATGAGGGCTCCGTGTCGGAGGCAGAGAGGGGGCCAGAGCCATATGCTAGTTATCAGCTGCCTTCAGAGGCAGACATCAGTGAGGCAGATGAACAACTGGAGCCTGTTCCCAGTGTGCGCATGTGCAGAGTTGCCAGACTAAGGGAACAGCTAAAGAACAGAGGTCGACCTGGGAGTAAGGCCACAGATGGATGATGAATGACTCAGAGGTGGGTTCTGGCAGTCGTTACTGCTGGTTTGCTCTCTCTCTTGTGCACTTGATGCACGCTGTGCACGCATGTACAGTATAATAAAAATTGTTCTGCGCATGTGCAGAAGCAAAAAAACAAGATGGCACCTCTTCCTGGAGAACCAGTTTGGGGGCATGGCAGGCCTGGGTCGCTACCAGTTCCAATGACCCAGGATACCAAACCACTACCAGTTCAGCTGAACTGGTCCAAACCAGTAGGAACCCACCACTGGAATAGTTCTCCCAGAGGAAATAAAAGAGGAGCATAAAGGGAGTGGAGTTTGCAGGAGACAATTTGTTCGCTTAATTGGTTTGTGACTCTCCGAGAGTCCTTGCCAAGTTTTGCAGATATCGGCCTGGCAGCTCTCTACGCCAGATAAGGTCTGTGACTGTAAATCCTCCCTTGAAAGACTTTGTTGAATGTGAATGAACAGAATTCACATTAAATTAATTAATAAATTAATAAAAGGGGTTTTTGTCGGGACAAGGAGTTTCTTCATGCTCTTAGGAAGCCTCGGTCAGAACACTTAGGACCGTACTAGCAGGCTCAATGACAGTCATACGTCGAGAACTGTCTTTATTTTAAACAACAACAAAAATTGCCTCTCTCAATATAGCAGTATAGATTCCTCCTTGGGTTAATAGACGTGGATTTGGGATTGAAAAATGGAAGTGATGGCTTGCAGTTTTTGGGTACCTGCCTGAGATGTGTTTGGCCATTGCTGTCTTAGTCGTGTTTTTGTTTCAGAAATCTATCATTTCCAAGGAAAGCCTGTTTTAATCTGTCATTAGGACATGGTTGTCACAGTTGATTGAATTGTGACACCCCATGTTGGCCTAATTCTCAAGTTAATAGTTTTCTTCATGATCTCAGATCAGAACAGCAACCATAAAGCCAAGTTGTCCCCCCAGGGTGGTAATTAAAAAAAAAAGGTTTTGCACTCTGCAGACTTCCAAAAAACGGCCTGTTTTTCACAAAAAAAAGAGGCATGAATAGTCTTTAGGAGGCTTATAGAGTGCTCCTGGGGGGTGGGGGTCCACCAAAATGAGAAAAAAAATCGCCAATTTTTCACGAAAACGGGCCCGTTTTTGTCAAAAAAAAATTGCATGCATAGCCTTTAGGAGGCTTATAGAGAGCTCCTGGGGGCTGGTGGGCCAAAATTGAGCAAAAAACGGCCTGTTTTTCACTCATTTCTGCCCTCCCCAACCCCCAGGAGCTCTCTGAAAGCCATCTACAGGGTCTGCACGGCCATTTTGTAGAAGGGGCGGGGTTTCAGTAGGCAAAAAATGCTGTATTTGGTGCATAAGATGCACCCAGATTTTCAGCCTCTTTTTTTGAGGGAAAAGGGTGCGTCTTATACTCCGAAAAATACGGTATGTCAAATATTCTGAATTGGTTGTGCTTAAACAAATAGTGTTCCACTTTGATTCTCCGCTACAAAATTTTCTTGATGGTAAATAATTAAAGATTAGATCTACATCCTGTTTCTATCTCTTCTGCAGGTGCTGCGAAAATATGGAATCAATCTCTCTGAAGAGGAATTTTTCCACATCTTGGAATATTATGACAAAAACTTAACTTCCAAAATCTCCTACAATGAATTCCTCAGAGCGTTCCTGCAATGAGAAAAAAAAGAGGGGGTTGAAGGGAAATCACCCTTCAACTTGAAGAACCATTAGCAAAATGTATTAATTTTGAAGTTAATAAAACCGAATACATTCAGCCTTTTGGGTAACACTTCATCAGCAATCTTCTAAAGCTGATAGTATGAAAACTCGTAGTGCCTGGTGAAGCCAGTCTTCACTAGGTTGGGACTATTAATTTTCTCAAAATCCACTTAGCTGTGAAAATAGAAAACAATTACAGTGACAGTTCCAAGACAACCCCCCCACACACACACAATTAAAGGATTATTAAGAACAGGAATGCTTAATTTAGATTTTAAAAGGCAACATACTCAATTTTATCTGCTTCAGTTTTCTAAATGGATTATCTTTAATACGTTATACTCCATTATTCAGAAATTGGATACCCCAGAATCCAGCAGAAGTCAGTGGTGGGTTGCAGATGGTACGCCCCGGTACGGGCATACCGGAACCAGCCCGGAACACCGGATACCGTTCCGGTACGGTGCTCTGGAGGGCCCACCCGCCTGCCCAAGCTCCTTACCGGTGTTTAAAGGCTTCTGTGCTTCCGTGCAGGCGCATGGCGCATACAGCACTTGCGCGACGCTCCGCGGAGCAGCTGGAGAGTTGCAGAGCGTCAAGGAGGCTCTTGAATGCATGCTCGCGCTGCACACGTCCATGAGGATGCCTCCAGCATCCCACCACTGGCAGAAGTGGTAGCTATGAGTAAGCCTATAGAAATTGTTTATGCATACATTTTGATCCCAGTTTTGATGTATCAAGTTTGTTAAAAATGGGCCCCGGCATAATTAAAACGTCCTCCTGTATCCAAATAACATTTCCAGAGCTGGAATAACGCATTCACTTGGGGGGGATGCCTGTCAGTGTCTCTTCCTCCCATCAGCCTGAAATAATTTGTAAGAAGTTGGTGGCCAATTGAAACTTTTCCTCCACCCTCTGCTTTTTTTCGCATAATCCCTCATCTTTCTCCACCAGAGATGTCCACAGGGACATCAAATCATCAAAAAAGTTGTTATTCATGCTGGATGCTGCAATCCTTTCAAATGTTTATTACCTGTTCTAAGCTTCAACCGGAGATGCCGAGGGAATCTTCTTGGCTTGCTGCTCTTCTCTGCACTCTTTCTAGAGTCTCCACATCTTTTTTACATCGTGGCGACAAAAACTGGATGCCGTATTCCAAGTGTGGCCTTGCCAAGGCATTACAAAGTGGTATTAACACTTCACGTGATCTTGATTCTATCCCTCTGTTTATGCAGCCTAGAACTGTGTTGGCTTTTTTGGCAGCTGCTGCACCCGGCTGGCTCCTATTTAAATGGTTGTCCACTAGGACCCCTCTCACAGTTACTACTGTTGAGCAAGGTACCACCTATATTGTACCTGTGCATTTCA